GTTTATTGATTTGTGAATGTGAACCAGCCTTGCATCCAGGGATAAGCCCCCTTGATCGCCAGTGGATAAGCTTTTGATGTGTTGCTGAATCCGGTTTGCCAGTATTTTATTGAGGATTTTTGCATCGATGTTCATCAGGGATGTTGGTCTAAAATTCTCTTTTTTTGTTGTGTCTCTGCCAGGCTTTGGTATCAGGATGATGTTGGCCTCATAAAATGAGTTAGGGAGATTCCCTCTTTTTCTATTGATTGGAATAGTTTCAGAAGGAATGGTACCAGCTCCTCCTTGTACCTCTGGTAGGATTCAGCTGTGAATCCATCTGGTCCTGGACTTTTTTTGGTTAGTAGGCTATTATTCTTGCCTCCATTCAGAGCCTGCTATTGGTCTATTCAGGGATTCAACTGCTTCCTGGTTTAGTCTTGGAAGAGTGCTGGTGTCAGAAATTATCCATTTCTTCAGATTTTCCAGTTTATTTGCGTAGAGGTGTTTATAGTATTCTCTGAAGGTAGTTTGTATTTCTGTGGGGTCGGTGGTGATATCCCCTTATCATTTTTAATTGCATCGAGATTTGATTCTTCTCTCTTTTCTTCTTTATTAGTCTTGCTAGTGGTCTGTAAATTTTGTTGATCTTTTCAAAAAACCAACTCCTGGATTCATTGATTTTGGAGAGGTTTTTGTTTCTCTATCTCCTTCAGTTCTGCTCTGATCTTAATTATTTCTTGCCTTCTGCCTTAGCTTTCAGATAACAATTTATCTTGCTTCTCTAGTTCTTTTAATTGCGATATTCAGAGTGTCAATTTTAGATCTTTCCTGCTTTCTCTTGTGGGCATTTAGTGCTATAAATTTCCCTCTACACACTGCTTTAAATGTGTCCCGAGATTCTGGTATGTTGTATCTTTGTTCTCATTGGTTTCAAGGCATATTAGCTACTGCCTTCATTTCATTATGTGCCAGTAGTCATTCAGGAGCAGGTTGTTCAGTTTCCATGTAGTTGAGCGGTTTTGATTGGTTTGTAGTCCTGAGTTCTGGTTTGGTTGCACTGTAGTCCCAGAGACAGTTTGTTATAATTTCTGTTCTTGTACATTTGCTGAGTGCTTTACTTCCAATTACGTGGTCAATTTGGAGTAAGTACGATGTGGTGCTGAGAAGAATGTATATTCTGTTGATTTGGAGTGGAGAGTTCTATAGATGTCATAGGTCTGCTTGCTGCAATGAGTTCAATACCTGGGTCTATCCTTGTTAACTTTCTTATCTCGTTGATCTGTCTAATGTTGACAGTGGAGTGTTGAAGTCTCCCATTATTATTGCATGGGAGTCTAAGTCTCTTTGTAAGTCTCTAAGGACTTGCTTTATGAATCTGGGTGCTCCTGTGTTGGGTGCATATATATTTAGGATAATTAGCTCTTCCTGTTGAATTGCTCCTTTACAAAGTATGTAATAGCCTTCTTTGTCTCTTTTGATCTTTGATGGTTTAAAGTCTGTTTTATCAGAGACTAGTATTGCAACCCCCGCTTTTTTGTGTTCTCCATTTGGCAGTAAAATCTTTATTATCCATCCTTATTTTGAGCCTATGTATGTCTCTGCGTGTGAGATGGGTCTCCTGAATACAGCAGACTGATGGGTCTTGACTCTTTATCAGTTTGCCAGTCTGTGTCTTTTAATTGGAGCATTTAGTCCATTTACATTTAAGGTTAAGATTGTTATGTGTAAACTTGATCCTGCCATTATGATATTAACTGGTTATTTTGCTCGTTAGTTGATGCAGTTTTCTTCCCTAGCCTTGATGGTCTTTTACATTTTGTATGTTTTCTGTCGCTGGTACAGTTGTTCCTTTCCATGTTTGAGTACTTCCTTCAGGGTCTCCTGTAAGGCAGGCCTAGTGGTGACAAAATCTCTAAGCATTTGCTTATCTGTAAAGGATTTTATTTCTCCTTCCTTATGAAACTTAGTTTGGCTGGATATAAAATTCTGGGTTTAAAATTCTTTTCTTTAAGAATGTTGAATATTGGCCCCACTCTCTTCTGGCAGAGAGTTTCTGCAAGAAGATCTGCTGTTAGTCACAGTGGGCTTCCCTTTGAGTAACCCGACCTTTCTCTCTGGCACTGCCCATAGATTTTTTTCCTTCATTTCAACTTTGGGCAGATCTGGCAATTATGTATCTTGGGGTTGCTCTTCTCAGGAGTATCTTTGTGGCATTCTCTGTATTTCCTGGATCTGAATGTTGGCCTGCCCTACTAGGTTGGGGAAGTTCTCCTGGATGATATCCTGAAGTGTTTTCCAACTTGGTTCCATTTTCCCCCTCACTTTCAGGCACCCCAATCAGACGTGGGTGGTCTTTTTACATAATCCCATACTTCTTGCAGGCTTTGTTCATTTTCTTTTCTTCTACTTTTTTCTTTTGGTTTCTCTTCTCGCTTCATTTCATTCATTTGATCCTCCATCGCTGACATTCTTTCTTGATTGATCAGTCGGTTACTGAAGCTTGTGCATTTGTCACGTATTTCTCGTGTCATGGTTTTTCGTCTCTTTCATTTGGTTTATGAGCTTCTCTGCATTAGTACTCTAGCCATCGTTCTTCCACTTTTTCAAGACTTTTTAGTTTCTTTACGCTGGAGTACGTAATTCCTCCTTTAGCTCTAAGAAATTTGATGGACTAAACTAACTTCTCTCATTTCGTCGAAGTCATTCTCCATCAGCTTTGATCCATTGCTGGCGATGTCTGCAACTCCTTTGCCGAGGAGATGAGCTCTTATTTTTTAATTCCAGCTTTTCTGCCTGCTTTTTCCCCATCTTTGTGGTTTATCTGCCTCTGGTCTTTGATGATGGTGATGTACTGATGGGGTTTTGGTGTAGGTGTCCTTCCTGTTTGATAGTTTTCCTTCTAACAGTCAGGACTGTCAGCTGTAGGTCTGTTGGGGATTGCTTGAGGTCCACTCCAGACCCTGTTTGCCTGGGTATCAGCAGCGGAGGCTGCAGAAGATAGAATATTTCTGAACAGCGAGTGTACCTGTCTGATTCTTGCTTTGGAAGCTTCCTCTCAGGGGTGTACTCCACCTTGTGAGGTGTGGGGTGTCAGACTGCCCCTAGTGGGGGATGTCTCCCAGTTAGCCTACTCGGGGTCAGGGGACCCACTTGAGCAGGAGTCTGTCCCTTCTCAGATCTCAACCTCCGTGTTGGGAGATCCACTGCCCTCTTCAAAGCTGTCAATCAGAGTCGTTTGCGTCTGCAGAGCTGCTGCGTTTGTTATTGTTTACTGTGCCTGTCCCCAGAGTGGGAGTCTACAGAGACAGGCAGGTTTCCTTGAGCTGCTGTGAGCTCCACCCAGTTCAGGCTGGCAGCTTTGTTTACCTCGCAAGCCTCAGCAATGGCGGGCGCCCCTCCCCCAGCCCGCTGCTGCCTGCCCGGTAGATCACAGACTGCTGTGCTAGCAATGAGGAGGCTCATTAGGTGTGGGACCCTTCCGGCCAGGTGTGGAATATGATCTCCTGGTGTGCCCTGTTTGCTTAAAAGCGCAGTATTGGGGTGGGAGTTACCCGATTTTCCAGGTGTTGTGTGTCTCAGTTCCTAGCTGAGAGAAAGGTTCTTCCCCTTGCACTTTCCAGGTGAGGCGATGCCTCGCGCTGCTTCAGCTCTCATGGTCGGGCTGCAACAGCTGACCAGCACCAATTGTCCGGCCTCCTAGTATGAGATGAACCCAGTACTTCAATTGAAAATGCAGAAATCACCGGTCTTCTGTGTCGCTCGCGCAGAGGGACTGGAGACTACGATGTTCCTATTCAGCCATCACATCACCCCCGAGGTCATTCTTAAAGAAGACCTTTGTCAACTTATCAAATACACCTGCAAATAAGCATTTGTGTTTCCTCTGGTACCTTACTCACTTGCATATGTAAAAATTTCAACCTGTATTCCATCAGGAACTCATGTTAGTGACATAAAATTTCATTAATTTTCTTCAAATATCAGGCATTTTTTCGTTAATAATTCCTTTCTAACTTATCAATCCTTACTTCTAGCCTTATATAATTTCAGAGTTTCTGGGTTTCTGGGTTTCCTACTCTGCTCCATGCATTTGTCTTTTCAAGCACAGTAAATGATTAATTGTAGGCATTAATAGCACATATTTGCTATCTAGAGAACAAGTGTTTTTCACTCCATTACAGAGATTTTTAAATGCCATCACAATAGTGAAAGACAGCAGGTGTCTGAAAAATGTTAAAACCTTGATAATTTCATTCGGTCTATGTAAAATTGCTGTCAGTAAATGATTAATTGTAGGCATTAATAGCACATGTTGCTATCTAGAGGAGCAAGTGTTTTTTCACTCCATTATGAGATTTTTTAAATGCCATCACAATAGTGAAAGACAGCAGGTGTCACAGAAAAATGTTAAAACCTTGATAATTTCATTCGGTCTATGTAAAATTGATAAACACAGGAAGAACTCACATTTTGAGAAAAATGTGCCTTCCCATTCAAGAACACAGAACCCACCTCCCATTTCCAAGTAAAGAACCTACCTACACAGGTGGATATGGATGTAAAACGGACAGTTTTCTCTAAGAACTTTTCGCCTACTGAAAATAACTCATGCTATTTTTGATAGGGGAATGAGTTTTCTCATTAGGCACCTCCTATAATGTATATAAACCATGTTTTAAAGGTGTTCATTAAAAATAAAACACCCTAGATGCTTAACTTTGTAAGTTATCTCACTCAACTTCACCTGCTCCAGCCAGAGAATTATGAGTGATGGAAAACAGCTGACGGCCCTTTTTGCTCCGCTGCTCGGAGAGTGCACAGTGCACTCTAAGCTCCAGTCCAAGGGGTGGCACCGAAGCCGGGCCTGGGGACTCCCTCCCACCCCGGGGTTGAGCCTCCACTGCCTGTGCTGCTTGTCCATGGCGTCCACATCGCTACTCTTGCATGCTAGGCAGCGCTCCACCTGCTGGCATGCTCAGCCTGCAAGCGACTTCCAGGAGTGGTGCAGACACGTGCTCTTTGGCTTTGCTAGGCTCACTTGGTCTGAAAGGTTGGAGGCTGTGAGTGTCACTGCTGAAGGATGTGGTGGACCGGGCTGGATTGCGGATTTTGGAGTAGATCACAGAATTGCATTCGCAGATTGGAGCTTGGATCACGGATTTGGGGTTAGATCAAGTATTTGGGGTTGGATAGGGGATTTGGAGCTGGGTTGGTGGGGTTGGAGGGGGTTGGTGGTGGTGAAAATGTGACAGGTGGTGAAAATGTGACAGGGAACTGCCCCGCTTAAGAGCCGGTGGTTGGGGGTCTGAGAAGAACTCACCACCATGAAGTCATTCGACTTTGGGAGCCACAGAGGCCAGAGGGTCCTGAGCTCCATAGGCCACATCTACACGTGTTCTGGGTACCGAATCTGGGACGCTGAACTGCAGAAGATCCAGAGGGTGGCTGTCAAGTGTGATACCGGGGAAGTGGAGCGCTGCCTGGTGTGCTGGAGTGGAGACCAGGACCAGCAGCACAGGTAGCGGGGGCTCAGTTCCAGGGTAAGAGGGTGTCCCCAGGCCCAGCTTCCCTGCAGTCCCTGAGACTGGACCTTGGAGAGTGCCATGCACTCTACGAGCTGCGGAGCCAAACGGGCCCTCAGCTGTTTTCCATCCCTCACAATTCTCTAGCTGGAGCAGGCGGAGAATTTGAGTGATGTAATTTATAAAGTTAAGCATATACTGTGCCATGCACGTCCCTGTGAAGAGACCACCAAACAGGCTTTGTGTGAGCAATAAAACATTTTAATCACCTGGGTGCAGGCAGGCTGAATCCGAAAAGAGAGTCAGCGAAGGAAGATAACTGTGGGGCCGTTTTATAGGAATTGGGTAGGTAAAGGAAAATTCCAGTCAAAGGGAGGTTCTTCTCTGGTGAGCAGGAGTGGGAGTCACAAGGTGCTCAGTTGAGGAGCTTTTTGAGCCAGGATGAGCAAGGCACAAGATAATGTCATCCGTTAAGGCAAGGACTGGCCATTTTCACTTCTTTTGTGGTGGAATGTCATCAGTTAAGGTGGGGCAGGGCATTTTCACTTCTTTTGTGATTCTTCAGTTACTTCAGGCCATCTGGGGGTATACCTGCAAGTCACAAGGGATGCGGACGTGCAAGTCACAGGCATATATGTGCAAGTCACAGGGATGCAATAGCTTAGCTCGGGCTCAGAGGCCTGACATTTCTGCCTTCTTATATTGATAAGAAAAATAAAACGAAATAGTGTTGAATTGCTGGGGTGGCCAAAATTTTTGGTGGGCAGTATGGAGAGAAATTTGGCGACTTTTCTCAGGACTGCTTCAAGCGGGATTAGGGGCGGCATGGGAACCTAGAATGGGAGAGATTAAGCTGAAGGGAGATCTTGTGGTAAGAGGCGATATTGTGGGGTTGTTAGAAGGAGCATTTGTCGCATAGAATGATTGGTGATGGCCTGGATGCCGTTTTGTATGAATTGAAAAACTGAACGGAAGACACAAGGTCTGTAAAAGAGACCTGGTTAATCAAAAAAGGCCAGTTTAAAAATATGTATCAATTGCATGTGTATATATGTATATACAAAAGTAAATTAATTTTTTAAAATTTAACTTCTTTGGTTTGAAATTCAGATTTATTTAAGAAGGTAGTTGTGGCTAATTAATAATCTCAAATATTATTGTCTGAGAAAATTCATTTATTTAAATATGATCACTAAAACAATATATTTTCACAAAAATAAGAAAAAAGATTTTTAAGTTAGTCTGTTGTATGTTTTCTCTATAGTCACATTACAACAAATTGAACTTTTTATACAAATGGATCTTCTATTTCATTTTTATAATAAATGGTTTATATTCAGTAAACAAATAATCACAGTTGACCCATGAATAATGTGAGGTGAGGGACTCTAATCCCTGTGCAGTTGAAAATGTGAGTATAACTTTTGATTCCTTCACCTTAGCTACTAATAACACACCATTGGTTGGAAATCTTCCTGATAACATGAACAGCTGACGAACTCTTATTTTGTTTGTGCTGCATTACTATATACTGTATCCATACAATAAAGTAAGCTGGAGAAATGAAACTATTAGAAAGAAAATCATCAGGAAAACATAGTGACTTTTCATAAAGCATAAGTAGATCCTGACAAAGGTCTTCATCATCTTCAGGTTAATTAGGCTGAGAAGGAAGAGGAGAGGCAGATTTTGCTGTCTCTGGGTTGCAGATGCAGAAGAAAATCTGATTATAAGTGAATCCCTACAATTGAAACCCTTGTTGTTGAAGGGTGAACTGTATTACATATCATATTGATTTGTGTCACTAAGAAAGTAACTATCTCTAGAAATGGGAACTCAGCAATCCCTTTCTGGTACCATAAATAAAGGGCAATAAGAACTGTAAAACTGAACAGCACGCACCTATACAAGTAGGAGATCTTTTTTTTGAAGATAGCTACTGAGCACAAAAGACAGAAAAGCAATTCCTTCTTGAGAAGCACAAGTAATATTACATTTTCTTATACAAGCAAAATGGTTTTATCTGTCATACTTTACACACATACACATATACACATGCACATATGCACACACACAAAGTTAAAAATCCTGCAGATTCTTAGTGACCAAATCCAACTGTTCACAGGGAGCAGTGGATAACACATCCTACAGTTTGGATGCAATTCTTTTGGCTTTTTGACTTGTTTTGTGATGAGCTGCCTTTCATGGGTGAATCATGTTTTTAGCTTTATAAGAAACAAAGGAAAAGATTAGAAGGAAGTGAACGGGAATTCTATGATTAGTAGTAGACTATTATAGTAGATTCAATAGTCATATGTTTTTCTCCAGTTATACAATTTACTTGAATGATGTGCAATGAATCAATTATTATTATAAGAGATGAGGTCTCTCTATGTTGCCTAGGCTAGAATAGAGTGTCTTCTCAGTGGTACAATGATAGCTCACTGTAGCCTTGAACTGCTGGGCTCAAACAGTCCTGCTACGTCATCCTCCTGAGTAGCTGGGACTACAGTCTTGTGCAGTTACATTTGGCCTGATCCACATTTATTTATTTATTTATTTTTGACACAGGGTCTCCCTGTGTTGCTGATACTGGAGTACAGTGTTGCCATCTTGGCTCACTGCAACTTCTGCTTCCTGGCCTTAAATAATCCTTTCACATTTCACCTTAGCCTCCCAGGTAGCTGGGACTAAAGAGACATACACCAACACACACTTGGCTCATTTTCTTTTTAAGGTTTTTTTCTTTGTTTGTTTAATAGATGAGTTCTCACTATATTGCCCAGACTCGTCTGGAACTTCTGGACTCAGGTGATCCCCCTGCCTCAACCTCCCAAAATGCTCGTATTTACAAGCATGAGCCACTGCACATGGCCTGCACAATTATTATAAAAAGGAATGAAGTCCAGTTGAGTTGCAGAAAATTTGCCACCTTTTTTTTTCTAGAAACATTCATATTGTAGAACATATTGCCAATCACCTAGATCCTCTATTTTTTATTTGGTTAAAATAGGATTTCTGGTTATTTCACATTATTTTCTGACATTATTGTTTCATTTATTCCTTTTATGGCTTTATTCAATTAGATAAATAAAGAAATACAAGAATCTCCAAGTCAAATTTCAAGGCAAAAAAAAAAAGAAAAGAAAAACAGATTAGGGAAAGTTATTTTGTGAAATAATTATCTGATTACAGTTACATGTATTATATCAACTTAATAAAAATCTTACACAGTGCTTATGCGTCAAGGTTTCCCAAGACTACCCCCAGGTTTGGCGGTTCACTAGAAGGACTCACAGGACTCACAGCAAAGAGTCATACTCAGATCTTTACCTGATTACAAAAAGGGGACAAGCAAAATTGGTAGAAGAAAAAGGTGCATGTGGTCAAGTCTGGAGGAAACCAGGCACAAGCTTCCAGGAGTTCTCTCCTGTGGAGTTCCTAGGATCTGCCTAATTCTTCTAGGCTCACATTTTGACAACATATGTGCAGTGATGTCTACCACTACCAGAGTCTCATTAGAGACTAAGTACCCAAGTTTTCATATGGAAGTTACTCTCCCTCATATGTACCCAAGTTCCAGACTTCTAGAAGGAAAGTAGCTATTCAGAGTAACCACACTGTTTCTATAAACACGTTAGACACAGTGAGGCAGTCTTCTCAGAGAATGGTGAAAACCCTCCCAATTCCAATTTCCTAAACACCAGTCAAGGGCCAGCCTTGCATACAGGCCTTTCTAAGGATGGCAGTCTCTTGCCTGCTATATGAAATGTTTTCTGTACAACACTTATAACTCTAACTTATTTTTTGGTGTTGTTTTAAAATTTCATTTTAATAACACTCTATATTATAAGATAAAAATTAACTTGGTGCAGATTTCTGTTGTAGTTCATCTGAGTTATATTACCAATTCTTTTTGACTTTTTGGTACATTACCGGGTATTTGTAGCTATGAGATTTACCATAGCAATGTTAGATATTAGTAAATGTCCTTTGTAACTCATTAATCTTTTTCATTAAAAATTGTTAAATTAAATAGCAACTGTGGGCCCTGATTGCAAATTAGAATAAAAATTATCTTATTTTGGAAGTTCCCATGAGATAATCAGTTTTCATATTGTGCTTTCATAAATCCTGTTTGGATACTTGGAGGCAAGATAAACCTTCGTGTTTATCAATATTTTCTCACCATGAAGTCAAATTTATTTATTTTTATATAGAATATATACTTCCAATTTGCAAAATAATGCATCTTTCTTGCTGGACTTCAATGATGTCTAGTTTTTGGCGGTGTCACTGTATTAAAGCCGATTTATCACTTATGCTGGCAGGTGCGAGTGAATATTATCTTTTTATTTTTATCTTTACTTTGAAACAGAGTTTGAAAATCTGGTTGCCCAGGCTTCTGGCACAATGGCACAATCTCAGCTCACTGCAGCTCCACCTCCTGGGTTGACATTTTCCACCTCGATCTCCCAAGTACCTGGGACTCCCTTCACCACCACCCTGCGGCTAATTTTTGTATTTAGTGGGGTGGGGTTTCACCATGTTAGAAAAGTTGCAGGCTGGTCTCAAAACTCCTAAACCTCCACATTGGTCACCTCATTATTCCTCTAAAGAGTGGGGATTGTGATCATGATCACTGCACCTGGGTATCTCCTTTTTCTTTTTAAATTTTTGTTCTCTACAGATCACAGGATGCATAGAACCAGTGAATATGCTTACTTGGGAGACCAAGTCTTCATACTATCCACCCAGGCTGGAGTGCAGTGGCATGATCTTCCAGTAACTGCAACCTCACCTCCTGAGTTCAACGGATTACCTCCTGCCCTCGGCTCCCGGGTGGCTGAGTATTCACAGAGGAGCCTGCCACATGCCAGAGCTAATTTTTTGTATTTTTAGTAGAGATGATGTTTACCATTGTGAGGCTGTCTAGTAGCTGAAATTACAGGAGCCTGCCACCATGCCAGGCTAATTTTTGTATTTTTAGTAGAGA